ATATGTCTGATGCTGAAAATTCCAGGAAGTACAACATTGATTCCTCTTCAATGTACCAGGTTAAAAACTTTGTTTCCTATTCAATGAATGAAAAAATTAAAATGTTTGAGTATTTGGGTGTCATTAATTCTAAGAAGAATCAAACCATAAGAAACTTGCAAAATCAAATTGATCTTCTTAAAACTGATATTTCCATGAAAAACAGTGTTATTGAGTCCACTCAGGAAAATCTCAGAATTACTAGTTTGTCAAACTCATCTTTGTTTGCTGAAATTGATGATGTTAAAACTCTTTTGATCAAAGAACAAACTGTGCTTCACACTTGGGCAAAATCCCATAAGAATGCTAATTATATCATTTCAGCTCAAATTCCTCATTCTTGTGAGAAAATTCTTGGGGGTAATTTTGCAGAAGCTGAAAAAGTTTTTAAAACACAAGAAAAGGGATCTGAGGTTTATTCCATGAATGAGATGAGAAATAATTTCAAAAATAAGTTTGTCAGTAACTCTTTTATTAATCAAAGCTTAATTGATAAATATTGCATTACCAATTCTGATGGTATAACTGAGTGCAATGTTGAAATTACCGGAATTGATCCTACCTCTTATCCTGGACATCTTGTTAGACCAATCCCTCTAACTGAGAATATTATTGCTTTTCCTATTTCAAATGGAGTGTTTCATGCTGTTCATGAACAACTCAAGCACTGCCCTGATTGCAATCCATCTGTGAATGAGTCAAAATTAGATATTGATAGTGTTACTCCTAACACTGATCAAACTTCTCCTGATACTATATTCAGTCGTGACTCAATAATAAACAAAAGAACTCAAAGCTCTCTTGATGAATCTTACATGTCAAAATGTGTTAAATCAAAAAATTTACTCATCAAGAAGAACTTTGGTACTAGAGTTTGTTACAGATGTGGTAATTCCTCTCACAAGATTAGTGAATGTTCTTTTGATAAATCATCCTCAAGAGCTGAGAATATTAAAATTAGGAATGAAAAATGGTCTCTTAAGTCTAACTCTTTAAACTGTCTTCCTAAGGAGTGCTATAACTTATTATCGAATAACTTTGTGAATGACCCATTTTTGAATGGGTCAGTGTGTTCTAACTAGTTTCTCAGTACTGCAGGGTCAAGAGCATCTTTGGTATTTAGATAGTGGTTGCTCAAGACATATGACGGGATCAAAGTCTCTCCTGGAAGATTATGTTAAGAAAACTGGTCCTGCAGTTACTTATGGAGACAATGGAAAGGGATTCACTAAAGGATATGGAAACATCAAATGCAATAACGTGAGTTTTCAAAACGTTTCATACGTAAAGGGTCTCAAACACAACCTCATTTCTATCAGTCAGTTATGTGATGCTGACTATGAAGTTCATTTTACAAAGAAGGAAGAGTTGTAAACACTGACAAGAACATCGTTCTCTCAGCTAGTAGAAAAGATGATATTTATGTTCTTGACATGTTCTCGAGTGACAAGACACTGATGCAATGTTTCTTTACAAAGTCTCAGATGAATCTTAGTTGGATTTGGCACAAAAGGTTCTCTCATCTGAATTTCAAGAATCTATCCAAGATATCCAATCAAGACCTAGTTAGAGGGCTTCCAAAATTCAGCATTATAAAGGACAAGATGTGCTCAGCTTGTGAACAAGGAAAACAAACCAAGTCCTCTTTCAAACCCAAGTCGTGCTCTAGTATATCAGTTCCTCTTTATCTACTTCACATGGACCTGTTCGGACCTATTCCTGTTCGTTCTCTAGGTGGAAATAAGTATACTCTGGTGGTTGTTGATGAGTTCACTCGATTTACTTGGGTAACCTTCTTGAAGAAGAAAAATCATGCTACATAAGAGATCATCTCACTAATTCGTAAAAATGAGACACTGACAGGTCTTAAAGTTAAGCAACTAAGAAGTGATCATGGCACTGAGTTCCGCAACTCAACTCTAGAAGAATTTTGTGACATCAAAGGTATTGGGCAAAACTTCTCAGCTCCTCGTACTCCTCAGCAAAATGGTGTTGCTGAACGAAGGAATAGAACACTGATTGAGGCAGGAAGAACCTTAATGATACATGTTGGTCTTCCTATGTCCTTTTGGGCTGAAGCTGTCAATACAGCGTGTTTCACTCAGAATCGATCTTTAATTCACAGGGTTCACAAGAAGACTCCATATGAAATGCTGAAAGGTCGAAAACCAAATGTATCCTTTTTTCATGTGTTCGGATGTATTTGTTACATTCTCAATCAGCGTGACCCAAGGTCCAAATTCGAACCTAAGGCTGATAAAGGTATTTTTGTTGGGTACTCTTCTATTTCGAAAGCTTTTCGTGTTTTTCATGTGAATAGGCAATGCATTGAAGAATCCATTCATGTTAAGTTTGATGAGGAATCATACACTGATGAAAAGGTCTCTCATTCTCCTTCTATCTTTCAAGAACTTCTCTCTTGTCCCTTCGATGAAGTATCTTCTACAGAAGATAAGACTGATTCCTCTGATCCTATCATTCCATTTCCATGCTCCTTGACTCAAGATATTGCAGGCACTGACAATTCATTAAGTGCTGATGAAACCTTTGAAGCTGAAGATTCTCCTGAAACTGATAATGTGTCAGCATCTATATCTCCTGAATCAGCATCAGTTATTGAACATCGAGATCATCCTGTTGATCAAATTATAGGGAATATTCATGATGGTGTCCGAACCAGATCTAGTGCACTTAATAAATTTTGCATGTATGTTAACTTTGTTTCAATGATCTTACCCGATAAAATACACGCAGCTCTTCAAGATACTGATTGGATCAAAGCCATGCAAGAAGAACTGAATGAGTTTGAAAGGCACAAAGTTTGGACTCTTGTTCCAAGACCATCCGGGAAAACTATAACTAGAACTCGTTGGGTCTATTGTAACAAGGTTGATAAAGATGGAATCATCACTCGCAACAAGGCAAGGCTTGTACCTCAAGGGTTTACTCAAATTGAATCCATCGACTACGGGGAAACTTTTGCTCCAGTTGCTCGCATTGAAGCTATCAGACTGTTTCTTGCATATGCATCTTACATGAACTTCATTGTCTATCAGATGGATGTGAAAACAACATTTCTACATGGTGTGTTAGAAGAAGAAGTATTCCTAAATCAGCCCCCAGGCTTTGTGGACAAAGATCATCCTGATTACGTGTATCGGTTAGACAAAGCGGTCTATGGGCTGAAACAAGCTCCCAGGGCCTGGTATGAGACGCTGACATCATATCTGCTTGAGAATGGATACAGACGAGGAGCAATCGACAATACTCTCTTCATCAAAAACAAAGGATCAGACATGGTTCTTGTTCAAATTTATGTCGACGACATCATTTTCGGCTCTCCAAATGAGACACTAAGCAAGGAATTTGCAGAGATCATGTCTCAAAGGTTCGAAATGAGCATGATGGGGAAGATAACCTTTTTCTTAGGTCTTGAAGTTCAGCAACAAAAGACAGGTATTTCCATTTGTCAAAGTAAATATATATCTGACCTGCTTGTTAAATATTCTCTCAGTGACTGCAAACCAGCCTCTACTCCAGTGTCCAAGACTGATAAGATACACACTGATCCAGCTGGAACTGATGTCAATCACTCTCTGTATCGAGGAATGATTGGATCTCTCCTATATCTCACAGCAAGTCGTCCTGATATTATGTTTGGCACCATTCTCTGTGCTCGATTCCAAGCTAATCCAAAGGAATCTCACCTCATGGCTGTTAAACGTATCTTTCGATACATAAAGGGAACTCAAAACCTTGCTTTATGGTATCCTCGTGACTCAGCACTTGTGACAACACCAGTGCCATTCAGATCACACAAAATCCTGTTCAGCACTCCAAGACAAAGCATATTGAAATCCGACATCATTTCATCAGAGATAATGTTGAAAAAGGAAAAGTTGTTCTTGAACATGTCAAGACTTCGGAGCAACTAGCTGATATCTTCACAAAGGCACTGGATTCTCAATCAACTGCTTATATTATCGGAGAACTGGGAATGATTTCCTTATAATTAAATTTAACATTTAATTGTGCTAATGTTTGCAATTGTCTTATAAGCTGATGTACATTGTGCTGATGATGACGTTCTGATGATATTTGATAGTGAGCACCTTGGTTTGATTTCTTATCTTGATCTCTTCTTCAAATCTTCTAAACAAAAGTTGAATGATTCACTGTATTAAACCATACACTGATAACGACTTGAAACTCTTTGCCGATGGTTAAATCAAAATACCAAGATTTATCACACGCAACTACCCTCTTCTCACCACTCTTACACTGATTCTGTGATTCAGCGTGCCAAAAACACACGCTGATGAGGGTCTAAAATCTTTGCCGATGGTTAGATCAAAATACCAAGATTTATCACACGCAACTACCTCTTCTCACCAATCTTACACTGATTCTATGATTCAGTGTGCCAAAACACACACTGATGAGAGTTTACAGATCTTTGCCGATGGTTAGACCAAAACACCACGGTCTATCACACGCAACAATCCATTCTCTACCCCCTTCTTATTTAGTGTCTAATGATTCAGTAAGATAAACCACTTACTGATGAACTCACAACAATCTGTGCCGATGGTTAGATAATGTAACTAGTATCTATCACACGCACCAATCTGCTTGCTAGCCCAGTTTATGCAAGTTGTACCTTGAATTGATGGAGAATTTCTCAGCACATAACCTTTGTGACTATGAACTCAGCGCTTCCGCAACCTCTGATTGACGCTACACCTTCAGTCAACGGCTCTTTTCTCCAACGGCTATTTTCTATTCTGACAGATTGTTACGCTGCGCCGTTATTTTTCGAAAAGATAATTATTACCTTTTTCGAATAAAACACATAAAAGGAAACCCCTCTTCATTCCATACTTAACTCACTTTACCCCTTGGTGTAATTTTTCCTCCCCAAACCTTTCTCCCAAAACCCTAGATTTCTCAAATACTCTCCAATGGCGGCATCTCTGTTCACCTACTCATCAACATCTCGAAGAGTCACTCCTGCCCCAAACTCTCCTCCACTTCCAATTCACATCAAGGCCACCAATGTAGTATTCAACCCTGACATTCCAGAGGTTCATCGAGGTCTTGGACTCGATGATTTCGTCAATTTCTTGACTTCTTGCCGCCTCCGATACGCAATCAGTGACGTACCATCCGAGTTCTTCCCTGAACAAGTATGTGAGTTTTACTATACTGCAACAGTTAGTGAAGAAAACAATGCCATCACCGGAACAATTGGCCGTGGCAGACACTCCGTCTTTATCACTGCAGAGCTTCTCAGCGCTGCTTTACGATTACCTCTGTTCGAACCTTTTTCTGAACCTCCAACTATTGAAAGATGTAAACGCATGTTTGATCAACTGGGCTATGATCATTCAAAGGCTGGTACTCGATCAGCCCTTATTTTGCGTCAGTGCATGACCGCAGGATGGAAGTTTTTCACTGGTGCCTTGTGCAAGTGTGTGGGTCACAAGTCTCGGAGTGGTGATCAATTGAGTAATTATGAGCAACAAGTCGTCTGCTCTCTTCTTCTCAACAAAAGACTGGATTATGGGGCACTATTCTTTGATCAGCTTGTTCAACTTCTACGTGCAAATGTGCGTGCTGATCATGTTCCCTTTCCTCGCTGGATTGCCTTGGTGTTCGACAAATTCTTCGCTGCTGATTATTTTTCTCACTCTGGGAATCCAATCCAATGCCCTCGCATGTCCGTTCGCATGTATCAGGATGATCCTTTGGATTCAGACATTGGGATCTCAGATAGGATGAGAGAATGGATTGCTCATCCATACACTATGCCTTCTCTTTCAGCTGATACTGATGACGGAGGTGCTGATGGTGATCATGTGGATCATGCTGATCAAGAAGTGGATCATTATGATGGCGGTCATTCCTCTCCTCCACCTTCTCCTCACCTTACCCCTGTCACTGGTCCTGCCTCCTCAGCTCCACAGGATCTCTTGTCTCAAGGGAGCAACCATCTCAGGGGGATCATCAGTCTCAGGGGGAGCATTCTTCTCAAGGGGAGCAACCATCTCAGGGGGATCCTCAGTCTCAGGGGGAGCATTCTTCTCAAGGGATGCCTCTCTCTCCGGGGGAGCATTCATCCCCAGCAGCTCGCCATTTCTCTCCAAGGATGCAATCCAGCTTTCCAGTTGCTCCAGGAACATCCATGATTCAAATTCCTGCTTCCGCATTCTCTGAACTGATGTCACTGACTCCGGACATGAGTCAGCGTCTGCTTAATATTGAGGCTGATGTTCAGCAAATCAAGGAGGTTCTTTTACTTACTCCTGCTTCCCGTCCCATATCCAATGATGTTCAAAAATGGGGAGATACTGATGATCACGCTGATGATCATGCTGATAGCGATCAAAATGCTCATGCTGATGAAGATCAAAATGAAAAAGACACAGCAACTGGTGACAACAGTATTCTTCAGCATGACTCACTCAACCCCGTTGAAGAAGCTGATCCTACGGGACATGATAGTCCAACAGCTACTGAAAGGTTATCTGATGATAGTGAGCATAATGATGAACACGAATCTGATTCTGCGGGGCATAGTAGTCCAGCAGCCACTGAGAAATTATTTGAAGATAGTGATGATGACGAAGAGCGTGATGAACCTGATGATGAATGTCAAATTTTTGACATGAACTTTATTGATCCTCTCATTCCAGATCAGCAAGAAAGCTTAGATGATCTTGAAGAATCTATTCCGATACTTGCCGATCCTATTGTTGATTCAATCATTCCGGTCCAAGGAGAAGATTCGGACATTGCCAGTGAAGAATCTCATCCGTTGTCTCGAAAGCGGAAAGTAGAAGATACTGACTTGGATCATTCTCAAACTGATACTTCTTCAACTGTGAAGAGACCAAAGTCTATCGTCAGTATTTCAAATCTTGCCACTGAATGGAACATGTCCCCTGATCAAGTTAAGCAAATTCTTGATGAAGCAAATCAAGCTCAGCTTGTAAAGAACATTGCTCAAGCTGATGAATCTCTCATTCAGCACGAACTTCAGGCCAAGGGATCTTTTGAAGCTCAAATGCAAAAGTTTCTTGAATTTCAGTCCAAGGCTCAGTCTTCTCAACCTCCTCCTAGTTCTAGCAAGCCCAAGACTGACAGTGTTCTTGACCGGATTGATCGAAAGAGATTTGAAGATGTTCTCAACCGGCGGATGTGTGGAGATAAGATCATCAAAGTCAAAGCTTCTAAGCCTTGAAACGAGAAAGTTCTTACATTGTTGATCACTCGTCAAGGTCCTCAACACTCTTATATTGAAGTTGTTAAGAGAGATGAGCTGATCAGGTATGGGTATTCGGAATGGATGGAACTGCTTAATCTTGCATCCAAGCAAACCTCAGCTCATTCTTCTGAACTGACTTGTGCTCTTCACTTGCTGATTAAGAAAGTTCAGCGTTTGGATCTTGTTCCTAAGGAACGATCTCAGCATCAAGGTCAAAGGTTGTCAGCTCATAAATCTCGAAGAACCAAGTTTCATGTCGATGACGAAGATGTGTTGGTTCTAGACTTTGGTGCTGGTGCAATTAACAACTCACGTCTCTGAATGTTGATCCGGTTCAGCATCAATTCATCTCAGCTCCTGAGCACGGAATGTTCTATCTAGATAAAAACAGGAGGATGTGCTTTCAAAGAACCACTGAGATCCCAAAGGCTCCAATCACTCACCTTGTTGGCTTAAGGCAAATGTGCATGAGTCATCAAGATCTATCTGGAGAATTTCACATCCTTATTGCTATGGAGCTGCTGAACAGAAGACAAGAGTTGCTGGACAGTCCTTACTGGCCAGTTAAAATTGAAGCCGAAGCTGAGTATGAAGAATTTCTCTCAAGAGGTGTATTTATTTAGTTTATTTTGAACATCATCATATTGGGGGAGATTGTAAGGTCGAACCTTGAAATATGATTATGTTTAAAATAAACTCAGCGTCAGCACGTGTTCAGCGTCAGCTCTAACATATTTCAGCTGTGTCTATATTAGCTTAGTTTACTCAATGTATATGTATTTGATGTAACAGATTCAGTATTTATCCTGTTTCCATAGTTATCATGTATAAGTTAGCTGTAATTTCCCTGATTTGTAGGGATTGTCTATAATTGTTCTATATAGTCTTTTGTACGGGTTTGTAAAGAGGGGTCTTTCACAAACCCTAATTGTCGCTTTGTGCACACGATAATCTCTTTGTGAGATTATCTTTCTTAGTGAAAGTTTTCTTTGTGAATTTCTCTTGTTCTTTCTCATTGTCTTTGTTTGATATATCGATTGATCTTAAGGTCTCTTCACAATCCTTGCTCTAGATGCCCACAACCGATTTAGGGTTCTTCTCAGTTGCTAAAAACGGACAATGACGGCCTATAAGTCCGTTATATACGTTCCAAAACCGAACGGCTAGGGTTTCCGCTGAACAGCGCAGACTCGCCGAGTCCATAATGGACTCGTCGAGTCCAGTCGCGAACCCGCGACCAATTCTGTGGTCCTACTCGGTGAGTCTGGCTCCAACTCACCGAGTCCCCTCTTAAAACACCCCAAAAACATAATATAACAATACCTGAAATTTCCGAGCTGTTACAACTCTCCCCCACTAAGACTAGACTTCACCCTTGAAGTCTCACTCTGCAAATAACTCCGGATGTTGCTCCCGCATCTCACGCTCCGGCTCCCAAGTCATCTCCGATCCTTTCCGGTGTTGCCACTGAACCAACACCAGAGGTACCTCCTTGTTCCTCAGAACCTTGATCTTCCGATCCCTGATGGCTACTGGTCTCTCGGCGTAATTCAGGTTCGCATCCACCTGAATATCCTCTAATGGAACCACTGCCGATTCATCGGCTATACACTTCCTCAACTGCGATACGTGAAAAGTATTGTGGATCTGTCCCAACTCTGCTGGCAACTCCAACCGATAAGCTACCCGGCCTACCCTTGCAATCACACGAAATGGACCTATAAACCGGGGCCCCAACTTGCCCCTCTTCCTGAACCGGATCACTCCTTTCCAAGGAGAAACCTTCAGGAGAACGAAGTCGCCAACCTGAAATTCAAGCTCGGACCGGCGTCTGTCCGCATAACTCTTCTGTCGGCTCTGGGCGGTCAATAACCTCTGTCTAACCTGCTGAATCTGCTTTGTCGTCTGAAGTACGATCTCCGTACTGCCCATCACTCTCTGTCCCACCTCTCCCCAGCAAATGGGGTCCGACACCTCCTACCATACAACAACTCAAAAGGTGGCATACCAATGCTCGAATGATGGCTGTTGTTGTAGGAAAACTCTGCCAAGGGTAAATGCGCATCCCAGCTACCCCCGAAGTCTAACACACACGCTCGAAGCATGTCCTCCAATGTCTGAATCGTCCGCTCGCTCTGACCGTCTGTCTGGGGATGGTATGCGGTACTAAAATGCAGTTTAGTACCCAGCTCCTCATGGAATTTCTTCCAGAACCTGGAAGTGAAGCGTACATCACGGTCCGAAACAATCGAGATCGGCACTCCATGCCGAGATACTACTTCCCTCACGTATATCTCCGCCAACTTCTCCGCTGATGAACTCTCGCTGATGGCAAGGAAATGTGCACTCTTTGTCAACCTATCCACAATCACCCAAATTGCATCGACTCCCCTGGCAGTTCTCGGCAATTTGGTGATGAAATCCATCGTAATCTGTTCCCACTTCCACTCAGGAATCTCCAAAGGCTGCAACTTGCCATGCGGTCTCTGGTGCTCGGCCTTAACCCCTACGGCAGGTCAAACACCTCTCAACGAACCAGGCGACGTCTCTCTTCATACAAGGCCACCAGTATTCCTTCCTCAAGTCCAAATACATCTTTGTAGCACCGGGATGAATCGATAATTTCGATCTGTGAGCCTCTGCCATCAAAGTAGCATGCGTACCGCCCACGAACGGTACCCAAATCCGACCCTGAAACGTCAGAAGTCCTCGTCCATCCTTAACGAACTCTGAGATTAACCCAATGACCCGCTCTTTCTTCTGCATCTCGGATCTCACACAACCTCGGCCTGCGCCCCACGAATAGCATCCAATACCGGAGTTATCACCGTCAGTCTCAGACATACATCTCGCAATGGAGTGCTCTCCGCCCTGCGGCTCAATGCATCGGCTACCACATTAGCCTTGCCCGGTGGTATAGGAATTTCACAGTCATAATCCTTGACCACATCCAACCATCTCCTCTGACGCATATTTAGGTTGGGTTGATCCATCAAATACTTCAAGCTCTTATGGTCCGTGTATATCGTACATCGAACCCCATACAGGTAGTGACGCCAAATCTTGAGAGCGAACACTACTGCCCCCAACTCTAGATCATGCGTGGGATATCTCGCCTCGTGAGGCTTTAGCTGCCTCGATGCATAAGCTATCACATGACCTCTCTGCATCAACACTGCACCCAGTCCCGAAATCGATGCGTCGCAATATACGAAAAAATCTTCCATCCCTTCCGGGAGAGCTAATACCGGGGCTTCGCACAATCTCTGGCGAAGTGTCTTGAAAGAATCTGTTGCTCGGGTCCCCATGAGAATGCAACACCCTTCCGGGTCAGTCTGGTGAGCGGTACTGCGATCTTGGAGAAGTCTCTAATAAACCTCCGATAGTACCCCGCCAACCCAAGGAAACTCCTGATCTCGGAAGGTGACTTCGGTACCTCCCAACTCATCACTGCCTCGACCTTGGCCGGATCGACCAATATCCCTGCCTGATTAACAACATGTCAAGAAATTGGACCTCCCGCAACCAGAAGTCACATTTGGAGAATTTTGCATATAGCTTCTCCGACCTCAGTACCCCAAGGACCTCCCTCAAATGTCCCTCATGTTGCTCTCTAGATCGCGAATACACCAGGATGTCGTCGATAAATACAATCACAGACCGATCCAGCATCGGCCTGCATACCCTGTTCATGAGGTCCATGAACACTGCCGGGCATTG